TCTTTACTAATGAGGTTGAGTATATTTTTAAGTATAGTGGATACGTGTGTCTTTTCTAATACGTGTATTCTCATTTGTTGCTCCTTTTTTCCATTCTTAATCTTTTCTCTATTATTTTATGAACAATATAGATATTAATGCTATGTGGCTTTTGTTAATGCACAAAGATTACATGTTTTTTCGTTGCCACACCTGTTTTTTTTTTACATTTAAAAAAAAATTTCTAGCCCTGGCTGGTGTAGCTCAGTGGATTGAGCGTGGGCCTGCGAACCAGACAATTGCGGTTCGATTCCCAGTCAGGGCACATGCCGGGGTTGCAGGCCGGTTCCCTGTAGGCCAGTTCCCAGCAGGGGACCCACGAAAGGCAACCATACATTGATGTTTCTCTCCCTCTCTCCTTCCCTTCTCCTCTAAAGATAAATAAATAAATAAATAAAATCTTTAAAAAAAATTTCTGACACTGGTGTCATCAGATTCATTATTTTATTTTTTAAAAGATTTTATTTATCTTTAGAGAGGAAGGGAAGGAGAGAGGGAGAGAAATATCAATGTGTGGTTGCTTCTCATGCACCCCCTGCTGGGAACTAGCCTACAGGCATGTGCCCTAACTGGGAATTGAACCTCGATCCTTTGTTTCGAAGGCCCGTGCTCAATCCACTGAGCTACACCAGCCAGGGCAGATTCATTATTGTAAAAGATAAGAAAGTTTAAATATCTTGAAAGAGTGAGTGTCAGTTACCATCCAGGTAACATCCAGACCCCTCAGTCTATCACGCCCCCTGCTCTATTCTCACCATAGCAAGTCAAATTAACCCCCCACATCTTCCAAATGCAAACTTGGGTTTTGGTTTAGGAAGCACATGGGCTCTGGGGTTGTCAGACCTGAGTTGAGATGCTGACTCAACCACTGACCAACAGAAGAGCTTTGTGAGCCTCAGCTTCTTCATAGTTAAATTGAGACAGGATTAATGTGAGATTAAATTATGTGTAATGAATAATAGTGATTGCCACGTAATTGGCATTTAATAAATATCTCCAGCTACTCCCTTGTGTTTTTGCTCATGTTGGGAAATCTCTTACCTTTCTTTTCTTTTCCAGCTCACAACACCTACTCTTCTGGCCAAGTTCTATCAAAACTCCTTCATAAAGGCTTTCAGAGAATAGGGAGCTTACCATGTATCTTAGTTGGCTTGGGTGTCTTGTTATTATTTTAATGTTTCATATGTAGTTAATCAGCCAGGTTGTAAGTTTCAGGAAGGCCTAGCCCAGTGCTTGCCACTTAAATGCATCCAGTGAAAATTTGTGGAAATAAATAAGTAAATAAAGAATGCATTAGCTATAACTGCAAGGTAATAATACAAGTTAAATTGTACATGTGTATTAGCCCCATTATTATGACAGACACATAATTGTTGATAAGTGCAAATTTGTTTAGTGAATGTAGCAATAAATATCTCAGCCTCTGGTATGCTGCAAACTTAAAATTATAAGATAAGTAAGTTCTAGGGATGTAAGTTACAGCATGGTGATTATAGTTAACAATGCTGTATATTTGAAAGTTGTGAAGAGAAAATTATAAAAGTTCTCAGGGAAAATATAATTTATTACTATGTAAGGTAATGGATGGTAAACTTACTGTGGTAATTATTTTCCAATATATATGTACATCAAATCATTATGTTATGCACCTTAAACTAATACAATGTTACACGTTAATTATGTCTCAGAAACAGAAAAAAATTAAAAGTAAAAAATTAAACATAGGAAATACACATCATTGGAATATACCAATGGAATACTGTATATCATTCCTAATGGTTTAATATCCTATATTTCTTCAGCTCTAAGAAACACTTTGGTGCACATTTTAACATTTCTGAAGGTGGAATATGTTTTATTATCAAAGAAATAGCCCTTGGCCAGGCGGCAGTCATGACATAGTTGGCATCGCCTCTGTTTTTGTGAATGCAGTCATAACTATTTGAATTCTCGTCATTTCAATAAGATCAAAGCAATTTAGTACTATATGTGTAAAATTTATATGCCAAGAAATGCAAGCAAAGGCAGCTGAAATGGCCAGATCTGCCATATTAGGTGAAAGACATTCTAAAGCAAGAAGATGCTGACACAACCAATTCATGTATCATTCAGGACTAGAGTGAAAGTATTGAACTTCAATTTGTCAGAAACTTTTTGTTGACCATTAACAAAAACTTGCATAGTTTGTTCAACAGAACAAGAAAACTGTGCTCTTAGTCAAATAAGATAGTGCCAGCATCAAACTTGCAGAATGAGTGTCTGTGGCTGGGAAGCAAATCTCAGAGACAAGACAAGAATACTCTTTCAGGAAATGCTACCTTGGCTGGTGTGGCTCAGTGGATTGAGTGTTGCCCTACAAGCTGAAGGGTTGCTGGTTCTGGTTCCATTCCCCATCAGGGCACATGCCTGAGTTACGGGCCAGGTCCCCGGTTGTGTGCGAAAGGCAACCACATATTGATGTTCTGCTTCCTCTTTCTCTCTTTCTTCCCTTCTCTCTCTTAAAAAAAAAAAGGCTACACTATCATTGACAGTGTACAACATACAGAGATTGATGTTCTGGGTAAAAGGGATTAAGATGAATTAGACTCAGTGTACATAATTTTGAGAAACACTTTAATCAATTTATGTTGCTTATATTTTTTCTATACATGCGATTAGTGAAAAATCAATATCTAAGTCTAAAAACACCATTTCAATGAGTATAAAATGCAAATCCTTTGTGATTACACATATGTCATAGTTTAATTGGAAGCACTTTTCCTTTCTTGGTAGTACATGCAATCAAAGATGTTTTAGATTTCAACAGATATAATAAATTGAACAGAGGCCAAAATAGGCAGTATGTCTACGAATTTCCAAGTTACCCTTGGTGAAGGAACAGAACTTGGTGTTTTGTTTCTGTTGTTTTAGTGGGCATGTATGATGCTTCGGAATGAGGAAGGAAAAAACTGATTTCTTCATAATCATCATTTGCTTGTAGAAGCAACATGATTTGAAGTTAGTTTCTCACATCACCGTGTAAAACTTATCACATCACAGATTGCATTCTGTACTTCAGTAACATTTCATTTGTCATTAGTTAAGCATATTTTAACTTAAATTTGTTATATTTTCCCAATATCAAAATGAAATGTGTTAGCATGGACAATGTCCTATGGTAAAAATGGGATATGTGTGAGCATGTAATCAACCATATTGCTTCCAAATGAAATATTTGGTAAATTTCTTTCTAAAATTTTCTTATAAAATTTTGGTGACATTTCTTCTAGTTGACAAAACCATCTCAGATCAAAGTAATATATATTCGGTGTACAGCATTTGATAAGTACAAAAAAGTATAAATAAGCACAAAAAACAATGCTTCTTCTCACCACCCAGAGATTTTCTCTTAATATTTTTGGCCATTACACCCCATGTAGCCAGGGAAAAAACAAGCAGCCCAACTTGTATACAGTCGCTGCTCATTACATCCCTGCTGAATGCATGAATACTGAAAGAGAACTTGGAGAAATGCCCATTTGTTTTGCTAATAGATCATTTATAAAGATCTTATGGTCTAAAAATCATTTGTCTCCTCTAGTTTGCTCTATTCCTCTCACATAGCAGAAGCTTGGCCAGGACAGAACCAACTTTCTATTATTTGGCCACAGAGCACTCTGGTGGGGACCGTCATGGTCCTCACTTCATTCCTCAGTCATTCAACAAGTATTTATTAATTGCCCACTACCTGCCTGAAACACGGAGGGGCAAAAAATAAGTATGACCCCTGCCCTCTTGCAGCATTCAATTTAAAGAAGATAAAACAGACAAATATAAACACAAAAATATATGTATACATATACAGGGGTGGGTGAAAGTAGGTTTATAGGTGTGAGTACACAAAATAGAGTTTATTTTTGTATTATCATGTTTTATTGTATTGTTTATTTGTGTTACAACTGTAAACCAACTTTTGTCTACCCCAGCATGCGCAAACTGTGGTAAATGTAAAAAAGGAAGAGAACAGGTGTCTGGGAAAATGAGTAAGTGGGGCCAGTATCTGATGTAGGAGGAGTCCGGGAAGGCCTCTGATGGAGCGACAAGACGACAGAACAGGTCGAAGAGGAACAAAAGGGAAGATTCTCTGAGGCTGTAAAACTTTAAGTGGGTGTAGACTAAGATAAGTGAAGGAAAAGTGATGGGGAAAAGACTGGGCTGCAGAGGTAGGCAAGTCGTGCAAGGGGCCTCGTAAGTTAAGGAGAGAATTTTGAATTTTATTCTACGTATAATTGGAAACCAATCATTTTTTTTCGTATTCAATTGCGGTTATTTTTAATAGTAACTCTACCATCAAAGGATGCCAAATAACTCCCCCTCCCTCTCCTTTGCTAGCCACCCAGTTCTCCTTTCCGAGGCTGCCTGTGTATGCCTCCGGAAATACTCTAGGCACAAACCAGCGAATCTGTGAGTCTGTGCTATAAGACACAGTAAGTATTTTAAGCCGGGAAGCGAGGTCATCGGGTTTGTTTTAAGATCACCCGAACGCTGAGAGGGGACAGGCTCTTGGCATTTACAGCTACGCGCTCCAGCTCACCTATTTCATAAACCCCACTCTGCCTCTCATTCTCGATTTCTGCACAGGAGATTCCAAGGGGCCCAGGGCCTCGTAAACTGCATTTCAGCAACGCTCCCACGCTGTTTCCCACGCTGTGCTCCGGGCAACTACCCGGCGCTCCTGCAGTTCTTCTGCAGCCGCTGCCGTCTCCAGCCACATTTTCTATCCTCCAACTCCATAGCTCCGCACCCAGCCTTGGTGTTCTAGTTTGTTTTTAAACAGACACCCACACCCAGCCGGATCAATCGCACCCCGCGGCCGGAAGGTAGTGGCAGCGCCTGGCAGCGAAGGGGGCGGATCTGAGCCGGGCCAAGATGGGGGCGGGGACCAAGGCTGAGGGCGGGGTCAGGGTTGGGGGCGGAGCCGATGCTTCGGTCGGCTGCCGAGCTTTCCAGAGCTCCCGGAGCGGCCCCTCCGTGCGGTAACCCGGCCAGCCACTGGCCGGTGGTCCCTCCTAGATATCACCACTTCTGCAAAGCCCCGAAGGTAAATCCTCCCAGGATCCGGGCAGTTTGAGCGCGAGGGAACCAACGACAGAGGCGGGCGGCTGGATGGCGGCGGAGGGTAACGTCCCGCGGCAAGTTTCCCAAGAAAGCTGAACTTGCCCCAAGTTTCTTGTGCATCAGTTTGCACCCGGCGAATAGGTGGCGGACTTTTTCCGTGCGGGTGGTCGTTGGGTGCGGGAGAGACGAGGAGGTAATTGGGTTAATCCGTTTGGGCACAGCCCAGATTTCTGTGTCCGACTGCGCAGCGTGGTCCGCGCAGTTTTTGCCGGAGAAAGAGCGGGTAAGTGACACGCAGTTGTGTCCCGCGCAGCAGCGGGTGACCGCTGGCTCAGAGCGCCCGTGTCTGCAAGGCGTGCCGGGTGGCCTGGAGTCAAAGTTCCATGACTCCTTTCTTCTTTAAGCAAGTCTAACTGAGTACTGACCCTCGCGGGGCTCACCCCCGAGGCTTCGCTATGGACGGCGAGAGCGAATTGAATTTTTCCAGCAACAGTTTAACCCCTTTGTGGCGGAGGCGGTCGACCCCTCAACCCCAGCTGCTGGGCCGGAGCAAGCCGAGACCTCAGTCTTACCAGAGTCCCAGCGGGTTGCTTATCACAGATTTCCCGGTGGAGGACCTAGGAACGCTTCCCGCAGCGCAGACTCCCGACCGGGTGCCCACCGCTTCGGATGGTAGGACTGTCCAGAGGAGCCCCCTGCTTCTCTGCACCCATCGGAAGGCGGTGACCAATGGGAGGACGGTCTCCCCGGAGTACAGGGCTGTCTCTCCTCGGCTCCGACGGCCCAAGTCACCCCAGACTCCCAAAGGAGCGTCGGGCGGTTCCCCGAAACCCCCAGCGAATGGTACGGTGACTTCTCCCGCGCCTCAGCGGCTGCGCCCCCCGCGGACTCCTAACGCATCCGCCCCCTGCAGCCCAGAGGGAGACCGGCTCAAATTGATTGCCAGCCCCCTGCCTTCCCCCGCTGCAAATGGGCTTACTCCTAATATCGACTCCCCAGGCTCCCGTTTGCAATCCGGCCAGACAGCTAAGGACTCTGAGCGGGCATCCTCGCCCCAGAATACATCTTTGGAACAAAAACTCCCCCTCCAAAGGCTGCCCTCAAAGGAGAATGAGCTCCCGGAGAATCCTTCAGTGGTTTTGAGCACAAACAGCCCTGCTGCCCTCAAAGTGGGGAAGCAGCAGATTATTCCTAAGAGCCTGGCCTCGGAAATTAAAATAAGTAAAAGTAACAGTCAGAATGTGGAGCCCCACAAGAGACTCCTAAAGGTGCGCAGCATGGTGGAGGGCCTCGGGGCGCCCCTGGGCCCCTCAGAGGACGAAGGCGAGGTCGAGAACGACCTAGACAGCCCTGGGTCTCTGCGGAGGGGCTTGAGGTCCACGTCCTATCGCAGGGCGGTGGTTAGTGGCGTTGATTTTGACAGTCCTACCACCTCGAAGAAGAAGAACAGAATGTCCCAACCGGTTCTGAAAGCAGTGATGGAAGACAAGGAGAAGTTTTCCAGCCTTGGAAGGATAAAGGTAAGAGTGGTCAGGAGTGTCACATGTCACTGACTAAGCCAGGCATTCACTAATTCCAAGGTAAAGGTGTTGGGGGTGGAGAGGAAGGATGCAGAGAAAACCAGACGTTATTGTTCTTTTTAATTCTGCTGTTTGTTGACCAAGCCTGTGCTCATCTATCTCTTGGCCATTCTGTTGCTGGCAGGCAGAGCCCAGGTTAAGGCAGTTTTGTGGGAGGAAGTGAAATTCGTATGCCTGTGTTAACTTTCTAAGCTCAGGCAAAATCTGGGAACAAACGGGGGAAAAGGACAGCAAATTAGATATGGGCTGTGTTTGAGTCCTGAACACTATCAAACTGCAAAGTGTTTGCAACCAGTAAACTGCAAAGGAAGTGTAGGGCAGGTCTGGATTTGCACTCTTCACTGTGGTCAAGTTGTCTGGTGCTTGTTCAGAGGTGTCAGTTTGTGGTTGCTGGCTGATTCATCACAGCTGATTAGGGAAAATACTGCTATCATTTGCGCCTACTGATTATTTTAATTATTTATGTGAATTATTTAATTTTTTTGAGTGGTGATCGATCACTCACGAGATACGTGAATTTTAAAATTGGGTGACAGAATTACAAAAGGCACAAAGAGTCTGTCATCTTTGTTGTTTCTTGTTTTTGTCAACTTGACTTTTGGTTATATTTTATTTCCATTTTGTGACTATTTGTCCTTTAGTTTATTTAACAAATTGGTAGCTCAAAACTTAAGTTTCCAGCAAACTCGGTGTAAAGGCCTAAAAGCTGCACCTGGTAAAATATTGCCAAATATGACTTAAAGAACTCCGGGAAACTAGAGAAGGGTTTTTTGGAGTGTACATGGACTGCCTTCTCCACAAATACGACGGATCTCAGTAACAGGGCAGAAAGTCATTTTAGCAGCCACATCTAATCAAAGAACTGGAATCAGTCTATCTAAATGTCACATATGTAATACACAACCAAGCATTTTGTATTTTAGATCCTATTGCCTTAGAGAAATTACATAATATTTTATGTCTCCCCCCTCCCCACCCCAGTCTGGACGTAGAGCACAGTTCAATTTAACAGTGATGGTGAGTCAAAACTAGTGAACTGGCGGGGCATTTGAGGATCCTCAAACCCTTTGACAGGCTGTGAGGGACATTGTACATTTTATTTCACTGTTTTAGTGCGTTGTAGTAGTCGTATTAGTGAACCACTGCAGGGATCATCTGCTCTATGCTTTGGGGAATCTAATGAATGTAGCAACAAAATAAGTACTTTTTCTTAAAATAGTTGTATTTTCTGTTTGGCTCATTCATACATAGTTTGCTTTGCCTTTTCCTTTTTTGCTTTTCTTCTTTCTTAGAAAAAAATGCTGAAAGGACAAGGACCATTTGATGGGGAAGGTAAGCATTTGATTTTCCAGACTTTTATTGCTGTTTCAATGTGGAATATCAATTATAAGTTGCAATCCAATTGCAGTGACAAAAACACTTAAGACGGGAAAAATGTCCAACTTCTCCAAATTGTGCAGCACAAAACTCTTCACTGAGCTAAATTTTCATCTAGTAATACCAGTAGTGAATAAAGAGAATAGCTTTCTTTGTAAGCTGATAACTCTGTCAGCCAATGCTCTGGGATTTTTCATTCTTTTTCACTCTGGCTCCATCCCCACCTCCCTCAAAAAATGGAGAAAGACCAAGGGCAAGCCCTAGCTCTTTAGTTAAAAAATTCTGAGAGTTCGGCTGTTTAGATCTTAAGCCTTCCCCCCCCCCACAAAGACTTTAATACTCTTTCCCTGGCTTTAGTATCATTTTTGACTTCCTGTTCCCTTACCAGGTTTCAGTTTGGGGGCTCTCTAACCCTGATGGCCAATGGAAACATATTCCTAAGAATTTGTAACCCATACAGTATTTTTGTTAAGGGTCTTAAAAACAAAAGCAGCTTCAACCAGGTGTTCAAACCCTCATCAGATCAGTGGGCTCTGTGTAAATAGGTGGGTCAAGTGTCAGCCAACTGGAAAAGCATGAAAGGAGCAGCAGCCCCGGCTGCAACCTTTGCAGGGCTGCTAGAACGTGGTAGACGTGAGGGATGACTCTTAGGTTTTCCAACTTTTAAAGAATAAAGACGAAAGGTATGCCCCTCTATAAGTAATCTAATGTAAAACCATCTGGAGTTATAAAACATATAACTCCAGATGATTATAAATCATTTCTCTATCTAAAAGTCATCCCCACTGGAGCACTTAAACCTGACTGGTTTGTAAAAACTTATTCATTGCACCAATCATAGGAAACTTTCTGTATGGAAAAAAAACCCGGATGCAGTTTTTAGTTGGTTGGAATAAAGTCGTCTCCCCTGGAGCTCTGAGAGGTTCAGTACCTGTCTGCTGTCACGACACAGCCAGGATGGGCACAGAGGCTGGCTCTCGGGCCACTTTGCTTCCTCTTGTACCACTTTTTGACCATGAAGTGATCAGAGCATCCACTTAAGATGTATTTAGAGAGGTGTTTTGCATCTTCTGGAGTTTGACATTGACTCTGGGGCTTTTTCCTCAAACGGTTAAAAATGTGGAGCTTTTAAGCCAGAGGACAGGTCACCCCCCAGACTTGGTCACACTCTTCTGTAACTAGTTTTACATTGTTTCCTTTTTATAAGGAGCTGTTTCTGTGCACGCTCTCATCTCTTTTTGAATATGATGACCTAGAAATTCTTTTTCACATATACGTACAAGAGGATTGCAGGATTCCTATAGTTAATCATTCATTAACAAGAATGTAACTTGGGAAGCAGTGCTATCGAGTGGTGAGAACCTGTAAAGTTGGAGCCAGGGACCTGGGTTCCTATCCTACTGCTTTATTCATCATTTGACTGATACTGAGCACGTGTCTTAACCTCACCAAGGCCTGATTTTATCATGTGTAAAATGAAGGGAATACTACTATTGCCAATGTTGTGGGAAGTGAGTGAGCAATCATTTCAACAATGTATGCATGTGTTTTGTGCCAACCACTAACTACTTTAAAGGGTGCTAGAGATGGAGAAAACTCAGTCTTTACCCTTGCTATCTGTTGTACACATGTAAATCAATCAGGGACCAGTGGAATCTTGCATAGCCTTCAGTATTCCTTTATCATATTTATGTAGAACATGCAATAGTTGATGAGAGAAGAGGCAGATGTTATCTTGCTCCAGTAGATGGAAGGCATTTCAAACTCAGTGTGTCCCAAACCAGACTCCTAACCTCCCCTTCGAAAGCCAAATCTCTGCTGGTGTTCTCTTCCCCCGCTGTCTAGTTGTGGGCCTTGCAGACCTTGGAAGCACCCGAACCACCTCCCTTTCTCAGAGCCCATATTCTAGTCCGTGCCCAGTTCTTTCTAAGTTGCACAGCCCGAAATCCATTACCTTTCACTGACCACTTGGCAGCATCCTCATTAGTTTCCTAAGCAGTCAATGTCTTCCTCCTCGAATCTAGTCAAATCTTTGCTTTCAGTGAATCCCCATGGCAATCAGGATAAAATACAGTCTTTACAGTGTGGAAGAAAATCATTCCTTTTGTACTCAGGATGAAAATTCAGTTAACGTTGCTTGCAAAATTCTGCTTGATTTGGGCTGTTGGCTCATTTCCCTAAACTCACCCTGCACCCTTTGTTCTCAGACATCCGCACTCGGGCTCACTGACCTGCCTTTGCTCATCTGAGCCACTGTATTTCCACTCTGGGCTGTTGAATAGGCCTTTTCCTGTAGCTCTGTGCATCTGAGCTGGAAGATCTTAGATTTTCCTCACTGACACCTCCCTGACCCCTCCCTGACCCCTCCCACACCCTGCTGGTGGGCTGTTCCAGTGCACCTGTACATAAACTGTTCCGTGTGTAGATGTGTATTTGTGCAGGATCATTGTGTCCTCAGTCCTACATGACTTGCCCTCTCACTTGGAGAAAAAACAAACTTCTTTCAATGGCTTTGTGGCGAGGCCCTGTATGAGCTGCCCTTTATTCATCTCCAGTCTCCATCCCCTATACTTTCTCTCCCCTCCCTCGCTCTGTTCCGGCCACACAGGCCTCCATGCTGATTTGTACACATGGACATACCAAGCAGACTCCTGACCCAGGGTCTTTGTACTTACCGTTCGTTCTGATGGGATATTCTTTCCCCACTTGTACAGGTGGCTTACTTTTTCACCTTTTTCAGGTCTTTGAATGTCACCTCTGTGAAGCCTTCAGGAACTACAATGTTTAAAATCTGCACACCTCCTTTGTAACATTCCCCTCCTTTCCTTTCATTTTTTCCCATGACACTTATCAGCATCTGACACGTTTTTAGGTGATTTATTTATTATCACTGTCCCCTCATTCGGATGTCAGCTCCATGAAGGTGGAGATTTTAGTCTTTTTTGTTTATTGCTGTATCGCCAGTGCCTAGCAATTACTGGCTTCTGGTAGGCATTTTCTAAATATTAGTTGAATCACCTGGCTGGCATAGCTCAGTGGATTGAGCGCGGGCCTGCAAACCAGAGTATTGAGGTTCGATTCCCAGTCAGGGCACATGCCTGGGTTGCAGGCCAATTCCCAGCAGGGGACTCACCAGAGGCAACCATACATTGATGTTTCTCTCCCACTCTTTCTCCTTCCTTTTCCCCTCTCTCGAAAAATAAATAAATAAAATATTTTAAAAAATAAATAAATATTAGTTGAATCAATAAATGTATGAGTGGCTGACTATTTTTCTCATTTTAAAATTTAAAATTTTAAATTAAGTTTGAGTACACAAAGTGTCTTTTATTTTCTCTTTACTCCCATTCCTTGGCACATAGTAGATGTACAATAAATTTTGTTAAGCAGATAAATGAATGGCAATGGACTTTGAAGTAAAGGTAGGGTGTGGATTCAGTTTAATCTAAGAAACAGTTTAACAGCTATGATTGCTCTTCACGGGTGGCAGGCAGAGAGATGGGGATGTTGCTTTCATTGGCATTTCATGTATGGGCCCCTCTCCTTCCTCTGTGGGTGAATTTGGGACAGAGCTGTGTGAGTGAGAAAATCACTTTTTGGTCATTGGAATACACTTCAGTGACAAGATCCATTTGCCTCTGTGTTTATTAACCTGGGAACCAAACATCATCTACATATGGATGTTTGTTTAGAGCAGGTAGCTTAATGACGGGGTCAGTTACTGACATGTACGGTTTGTTTTTCTCGCAGAAAATGCTGTCCTATACCAGAACTACAAAGAAAAGGCCTTGGACATTGACTCTGATGAAGAGTCCGAGCCCAAAGAACAGAAGTCGGACGAAAAAATCGTGGTTCAGCACAAGCCGCTGCGATCCACATGGAGCCAGCTCTCTGCGGTGAGGGTTTACCTTCCTCTCTCTCTGCAGGGTGAAAACCCCAGGTTGGGACAATCGTGCTGGTGCAGTTTTAAATTTTCCTGCCAATGATCTTGCAACCCTAAGGTTTAAGACTCTATTTCTTCGAGTATGCAGTGTTTCTTGAAACTCCACAGGTGCATGTGAGAATAGGAACTTTGGTACTTCTGGTTAGGGAAAATAGGTTTTGGTAAAGTAAAGTGCCTTGTGACTGAGGGAGTATAAACTTTGGAAACTCTTCCTATCCAGCATCTTTTTCTTATTTTTTACATAGTGTACATGTAGTGATAACGTAATATATCGTGAACTTTGTCATAAGTATGCCTATACATACATATGTGTGTACGTATATATCTCTCTACACATTAGGGTGCTTATGGTTCTTCCTAGGAAATTTCATTTGATACAGGCACATTTGTGTTCTCTTGAGACTGATTAATGAATGGTGTTCTGTTCCATCTTTCTCTGCACATCTTTTGTGTACGAGTGTCTGACACTTTTGTCTTGAGTAATTTCTCCTCTTTGCAACAAACATCCTTTTTTTTTTAGCTGTAATTGCTTTTTCTCCTGGCTTAACAAACGTCACCGTATATGCTTCCTTCACTTGCTGTGGGTTTGGGCACAGCATTTGTAGGCATCTGATGCATTACCAAGTGGAAAGGAATTCCCATGGCTTGGGGGTTGTGAGCCTTGCAACAAGAGACAAGCCGGCACACCTCTGTGAGTCCTTGGGCAATGTGGGAGCAGAGGTGATTCCCTTTTTAGCTGCACTGAGCACTTGTCAGAGTCAGGGGCTGTAGGTATTCGGGGAACCCAGCAGCGTAAGAGAAGGAGTTGTGTGTGCTGAAGCTCAGAAACAAGACTGTTGAGATGGGTCCATGCCGATGGTAGGGGTAACTCCTGGTTTAGGCTCTTCTTCCCTCTTCCATCCTGCGTTGGAAGTCATAGTCCCAGACAGCAAGCCCTCTCTCCTTGTCTCCGCCCCACCCCCTAATTCAGTTCTAATGAGGATCTATTCATTTCCAGTGTCTCCAAGGCATGGCACTCTTAACATTAAGTCACAGGTTAACGTGTCTGCAGATGCAGGACCAATAGTGTGGATACATGATGGTGGCGTGTGGCTCGGGGAGCAGAGGAGTTGTGGCAAACACACTTGCACAAACTGAGCAGCTGCCACTTAGCTCACACCAGTCCAGTGTTGCCAGATCTTATGATACTGAGAAAAAGGAAATCCAGATTTTTATAATCTTTATCCTAATACAAGTTTTTTTTTTTAATGTATGAGCCCAACAAAGTATTTACGAGCCCAACTTGGCTCCTGTGCAAATGGTTTGCAACTTCTGTGGTGTTTGCCTGTGGTGAGGTGGTAACACCTAGCCACACAACTGGCATATGGTAGGCTTATTCCCCAATCTAATGATCGCATGGCAGGTATACACCAAAGTAGGGACCTAGAAAAACGGGACAAGGCTGCAGAGGCCACGTGGGCACTAAACGGCTGTCACTGCATTGCCCGTACAGACCATTTGGTAGCAGATCCTCGAGAAGACACCTGTGGATTTTCTTCAGTTCTCCCTCTGTGGCAGCACAGGCTTAACTCCTGCTGTTTTTCTCTGGACCCTAAACAGAAATGCGACACGTATGCTTTGATCCCACTTAGTGTCAGTACTAAAAAATAGACAGCCATATTTCAGCCTCCCTCAGTTTGGTTTCCATTTAGATTAAAAAGTGTGCATTAAACTAACGCTATTTAGTCCTTCAGTATAACTTCAAGTATGTGCAGGCATTTTATTGGGCAAAAGGTAAATGTAACAATGCTTCTTTTTAAATAATTTTATTTAGTTATTTTTCAAGTACAGTTTTTTGTCTATTTCTCCCCCCCCCACCCCATGCTCCCCACCTCCCTCCCATTTCCACCCCCCTTAGTTCTCGTCCCTGTGTCCTTCCTATTTGTTCCTCCAAATCCCTCCCCCTTTTGTCCCCTTAAATTCCCTTCCCTCTTCCTTCTGGTCACTGTCCCCTGGTTCTCTATTTCAGTGTCTTTGTTTTTATTCTTCTTGCTTGTTTGTTTTGTTCTTTAGCTTCCTGTTAAAGGCGAGATCATATGGTATTTGTCTTTCAACACCTGGCCTATTTCACTCAGCATAATGCTTTCCAGTTCCATCCATGTTTTTGCAAAGGGTAGTAGCTCCTTCTTTCTCTCTGCTGCATAGAATTCCATTGTGTATATGTACCACAATTTTTTGATCCATTCATTTACTGACGGGCACCTAGGTTGCTTCCAACTCTTGGCTATTGTAAATTGTGCTGCTATGAACATTGTGCTGCATAGGTTCTTTGAAATTGATGTTTTAGGATTCTTGGGATATAATCCTAGCAGTGGAATTGCTGCGTCAAAAGGCAGGTCGGTTTTTATTTTTCTGAGAAAATTCCATACTGTTTTCCATAATGGTTGTACCAGTCTGCAATCCCACCAACAGTGAACTAAGGACCCCTTTTCCCCACAACCTCTCCAACATTTGTTGTTTGTTGCTTTGTTTATGATAGCCATCCTGACTGGTGTAAAGTGGTATCTCATTGTGGTTTTAATTTGCATCGCTCTGATAGCTAACGATATTGAGCATCTCTTCATGTGTTTCTGAATATTCTGTATGTCCTCCTTGGAGAAGTGTCTGTTCAAGTCCTTTTCCCATTTTTTAATTGAGTTAGATGTCTTCTTAGAGTGGAGTCGTGTAAGTTCTTTGTATATTTTGGAGATTAAACCTTTGTCTGAGGTATCATTGGCAAATATGTTTTCCCATACAGTTGGTTGTCTTTTTATTTTAATACTGTTTTCTTTAGCCATGCAGAAGCTTTTTATTTTGATGAGATCCCATTTGTTTATTCTTTCCTTTATATTCCTTGCTCTAGGGGACATATCAGTAAAAATGTTGCTGCATGAAATATCTGAGATTTTCTTGCCGATGTTTTCCTCTAGGATTTTAATGGAGTCATGGCTTATATTTAAGTCTTTTATCCACCTTGAATTTATTTTAGTGTATGGTGTAAGTCTGTGCTCAAGTTTCATTTTTTTGCACATAGCTGTCCAGTTCTCCCAACACCATTTGTTGAAGAGGCTATCTTTACTCCATTTTATTTTACTGCCCCCCTTGTAGAATATTAATTGACTGTAGAGAGTTGGGTTGATTTCTGGGCTCTCTGTTCTGTTCCATTGGTCTATGTGCCTGTTTTTATGCCAGTACCAGGCTGTTTTGATTACAGTGGCCTTGTAATACAGTTTGATATCAGGTATTGTGATCCCTCCTACTTTGTTCTTCTTTCTCAAAAGTGCAGCTGCTATTCAGGGTCGTTTATGGTTCCACATAAATTTTTGAAGTGTTTGTTCTATGTCTGTGAAATATGCCATTGGTACTTTAATAGGTATTGCATTGAATCTGTATATTGCTTTGGGTAGTATGGACCTTTTGAAGATGTTAATTCTTCCAATCCATGAACAAGGTATATGTTTCCATTTGTTTGTGTCTTCCCTGATTTCTTTCTTCAGTGCTGTGTAGTTTTCTGCATACAGGTCTTTCCCTCCTTGGTTAGGTTTATTCCCAGATATTTTATTTTTCATTTTGCTATATCGAATGGGATTTTTTTTCTGGATTTCTGCTTCTGCTGATTCATTGTTAGTATACAAAAATGCCTTTGATTTCTGTATATTGACTTTGTATCCTGCTGTTTTGCCAAATTCATTAGTGAGTTCGAGCAGTTTTTTGGTAGAGTCCATAGGATTTTCCATGTACACTATCATGTCATGTGCAAAAAGTGACAGTTTTGTTTCCTCCTTTCCTGTTTGGATGCCTTTTATTTCCTTTTCTTGCCTAATCGCTGTGGCCAAAACTTCCAAAACTATATTGAATAGAAGTGGTGAAAGTAGACATTCTTGTCTTGTTCCTGATCTTCGTGGAAAAGCTTTTAATTTTTGCCCACTGAGTATGATATTGACTGTAGTTCTCTCATATGTGGCCTTTATTATATTGAGGAATGTTCCCTCTATTCCCATTTTGCTGAGTGTTTTTATCATAAATGCGTGTTGTACCTTATCAAAAGCTTTTTCTGCGTCTATTGATATGATCATGTGGTTTTTGTCTTTGCTTTTGTTTATGTGATGTATTAACATTTACTGATTTGCGAATTTTGAGCCATCCTTGCATCCCTGGGGTGAATCCCACTTGGTCATGGTGTATGATCTTTTAGATATATTGTTGGATGCGATTTGCCAATATTTTGTTGAGGATTTTAGCGTCTATGTTCATCAGCGATATTGGCCTGAAGTTCTCTTTCTTTGTTGTGTCTCTCTCTGGTTTTGGAATTAGGATGATGCTGGCTTCATAAAAAGAATTTGGGAGTTTTCCATCCTTCTGGATTTTTTGGAATAGTCTGTGAAGAATAGGGGTTAGCTCTTCCTTAAATGCTTTGTAGAATTCTCCTGTGAAACCATCTGGTCCAGGGCTTTTGTATGATGGGAGTTTTTTTATTACTGCTTCAATTTCTTTTGCTGTTATTGGTGTGTTCAGATTTTCTGCTTCTTTTTCATTAAGTTTTGGAAGATTATATTTTTCTAGAAATGTGTCCATTTCCCCCAGGTTTTCAAATTTCTTGGCATACAGTTCTTCATAGTAATTTCTTACAATCCTCTCTATTTCTGTGGTATCAGTTGTAATCTCTCCTCTTTCATTTCTGATTGTGTTTATTTGAGTCCTCTCTCTTCTTTTCTTGATGAGCCTACTTAAAGACTTATCTATTTTGTTTATCTTTTCAAAGAACCAACTCCTGAATTCATTGATCCTTAGGATTGTGCTTTTAGTCTCTATGTCATTTAATTCTGCTCTAATCTTGGTTACTTCCTTCCTCCTGCTTGCTCTGGGCTGTCTTTGTTGTTGTTCCTCGAGTTCTTGCAGGTGTAGGGTTAGGTTGTTTGTTTGAAATGTTTCTAT